GTGATGTACCATGGTACTTTGCTTTCAGCAGGGGATAGAGCAAGATACAAGGTTGATAATTTGATCTTTGAATTTCTGCAACATGACTTGATTAAGTTTTGCAGATTTTCCAATCCACCACAATAGGTTATTACTTTATTTCTGACCTTTAAGAGCTGTTTCCACATCCAAGAATCTCCAGTTTTCACATCTACTTGCCATATATTCATGTGTTTAAGGTATGTTCCATGAGCAGTTCCTTATTAGTATGAATATCCCATATTGTCTTCGAAGCTGCTGCTATATTCCGAATTGTAGAAGAGAAGATTCCCAGGCCACCATACATTTTCCCTAAACAAACTCAGTCCTATAATACCAGAGCAGGTTTGAAAGAATGATCATTCTTCCCCCAAAGAAAGTTCCTATAGAGCTCATCAACTTTTTTAAGTACTTTAGCTGGAAGAACATAGATAGAGGTCCAGTATATTTAAATGCCCAGAATAACACTCTTTATCACTTGCAATCTGCCTGCATAAGACAAGTTTTTAATCTTCAAATAGTTTTGGAGCTGATTGGAAACTTTGCTGAGAAGAGGATTACAATCCTAGAAACTTAGCCTCTTGCATACAAGAGGCACACCAGATATTTGATAGGCATTTTTCCTTCAGAAAAACCCAGATACTCATGAATTGTTTCTTTAACAGATTCTCCAACTCCACCATAGAAGATAGCACTCTTGTTAGGATTTGCCTCAAGTCCTGAAACTTGACTAAAACTTGTGACACATTGATTAAGTTTCTGAATAGAGGTAAGGTCACCTTTGCAAAAAAAGCAATAAGTCATCCGCAAAGATTAAATGAGTTATTTTTTGCCTCCCATACTTTGGATGATATTTAAAATCCCTATCCTGATTCAGAAGATCCAGACTTCTTATAAGATATTCCATTGCCAAGATAAACAAATATGGAGAAAGAGAGTCTCCTTTCCCTAGACCTCTTGCACCCTTGAAGTACCCATGTAGTGAGCCATTGAGAGAGATGAAATATTTTGGGGTAGAAATGCATGTCATAATTCTTCTTATCATCTCATTTGGGAACCCCAAGCCTTGAAGAATTTCCTTTATAAATTTCCAGCTAACAGTGTCAAAGGCCTTCCTTATATTAATGTTGATCATAACTCTAGGGGAGATGTGCTTTCTACTATAGTTTTTTAACTAATTCATGAGCTAACAGGATATTATTGGTAATATGTCTACCCTTTACAAAAGCACTTTGAGCATCACTAATGTGATGCCCCATAACTGATTGTATCCTATTTGTAAGAATTTTTGATATGACCTTATAGATGCAATTGCAGCAGGAAAACGGTCTGAAATCAGAAGGGGTGCTTGGATATTGTACCTTAGGGATCATGGTGATTGAAGTTGAATTAATAGCCCCAAGTAACTTGTCAGTAGTGAAAAACTCTTCAATAGCTAGTGTAACCTCTTCTCCAATAATAGACCATGCTGACTTAAAGAAGGAAGCTCTATAACCATCTGGACGTGGAGACTTATTATCTGCCATGTAGAACACAACTCTCTTGATCTCATCTTTAGAAATTAGTGCTGAAAGGACCCTAGCATGATTTTCATTCAAACATGGACCATTCTTTATAATCCTGATGTTAGGAGTAGATGTTGGAATAGCAGTACCCATGAGGTTCCTAAAATAGGAGATGAGCTCATTAGCAATTTCCTCACTCTCCGTAATTCTTTCTCCATGCTGTTGTTGAGGACCAACACTCTGTTTTGATGTCTGTTAGCTTTGATTATTGAGTGAAAATTGCTTATACATTTATCACCCTTGATGCTCTATTGAATTCTTGCTTTTCCTGATAGAAAGACAACTCACAATTCAAGAGCTTATTATAAGTAGACAAGCAGTTTTTTTCCTGATTTATAAGAATAGGATTAAAAAAATCCTCCTGTAACTTTTTTTGAGTATCCTCAAGTGCATATTGAGCTCTTAAGACCTGTTCACTTATATTACCAAAATGTTTCTTGTTGAGCTCCTTCAGAGCACCCCTCAAGAGCTTAAGCTTGGAAAAGACTGAAACATTTTGAAACCATCAACTTGTGTTTGCCATATTGAATTCACTGTGGGCAAGTAATTGTCATAATTTGTCCACATTTTAAAGAACTTAAAAGGCTTTTTCCCTTGTTTTCCCTCTTCATAGATTTAAACTAATGAAGGAGAGTGATCTGAGAAGTTCGGAAGTAAGAATTCAACATGACTTGAATTATAATTATAAATCCATGAGTCATTCACTAGGGCTCTATCCAACCTGCACCTGACCCTGGTATCATGGTCTTGCTTATTACTCCATGTAAAAAAAACTACCCAAAGTTTTCAGGTGTAATAGATGATAATCTTTAATGAATGAACTGAAGTCTTTTGTATCTGCATCAGTGAGTGCTGATCCACCTAATTTTTCATCATCATTGATCATAGTGTTGAAATCCCCACAAAGAAGCCATGGAATATTCCCTATAGCTTGATGAACTTGAAGCAGTTCTGTCCATAATTTTTTCCTATATTGCTGATTGAAACCATATACAGAAGATATGAAGCAGACTATTCTTCCATCTATTGACTTTACAGAACAAGTGATATGTTGAGGAGAGATATGCTCAACTTGAATATTCAGAATATCAGGATCCTATAGTATTAAGATTTTGGCTTTTCCAGTGTTTGACACATTTGAAATCCATTTCCATCTAACAACTATCTTCTTTGCTATTGATGGTATGTTAGCCTCTTTTATTTTTGTTTCAATCAAAGCAATGAAGGAAATATGATTTTGAAATAAATGCTGCTTTGTTAGATGTTGCTTAGGGGATTTGTTTAATCCCCTAACATTTCAAAAAGAGAAATTCATTTCATTTTGTTTTGACCCCCTCTGTCCGTTGTAGAGGGATCAAGATCACATACCATTACAGCCAAAGGAGAGAAGGAATTAATAGGGGTGAGACTCTATTTACTTTTCCCCCTTTGCATTTCCATCCAAGAAGCCCCAGAATGTGTTGCTTCCTTGTTAGTAGTGTTTATTCCAGAATCAGCCTGTAAAACATGCACAACATGCATATAACTTTTACCAGATAAAAATGAAGATATACCTGCATTCACAATTTGTCCATCTTCTGTTTGATTTTAAACATATTTAGGACATTGCATAAATCTAGTATTGTGTACAGAGTGCACAGTCTGAGTATTAGCAGGCATAAGAGAATCCTTCTCTGATTGCTGATGCACAGCCTGGTCATTGACAGGCATAAGAGAAATCCTCACAGGTTGTTGGGCATAAGTAATAGGCTCCTGAGTATGCAGGATTTGATCATTCTCATGCACAGGTTGCACATGTCAAGATTATGTTCAACAGGATGGCCAGTACCAGAAACTTTCAAGAGGCTAGCTCTTTGATTAATTTGAACATTATTGTTTGTTCCAAGAATATTTTTTGGAACCCATCTCTGAGTTCTGGCCTGCCTTTTACAAAACATAGTATCATGTCCTAATTGCTTGCGCAAATCATACAATCTAGACTTCAAATCATAGTGCAGCATTTGATTAATCATTTTGACATTTGGTCCTTATAAAGAAATATGATCTGGAAGTTGAGAAGGCATTTTAACTTCAACTAGAATTCTAGCATAAGCTAGTCTCTGTCTATTAGCCGTGAGTTTATCTGTGGCAATTGGCTTACCAATAACACTTGCAATTTTACTCAAGCATTTAGCATTCCACAAGTTTAGTCTTAAACCTGGCAATTGAATAGGATAGGTATTTTCAAAGCTCTTCTCAATTTCATCCTCAATAGTCCAATGCTTTAGGAGAATGAGTCTTGATCCAAAAAACTAAGGGTCATTTTTAATAACATCACTCATTTCTTCTTTATTATTGAATTTGAACAGAAAATGCCCTGATTTAATCAGCACGACTTCAGGATTAGCCAATGGAGCCCAAGCTTTTTTGACAAAATTCTCTATATCTTTGAATTTGGCATTGAGGCCTAAAACCTGGCCTATGAGGGAGAATTTCCATATAGATTCTTCTTCATTCCATTCTTCTTCTTCTTCAAATATCACTGAATCTTTAGAAATTAGTGGAATAAAATTCAAAGCCATGTCATTTCCTGTCTTTCTATTATCGGCAAAAAAAACTAATCCAACTCTTTTTTCCATTATTTACAAGATCCAAAGAATGTTTAGTTTTTGAAGAATTTAATGGAGGAAAATCAACAATTTCTTTAGTAGAATTGTCATCAACATACTTAAGAACTTGATCAACATTGTACAAGCCAGTCAAATCCTCAATAGGATCCAATGTAATAGTGACAGAATTTTCAACCGATGCAGAAATTAATCGATCAGAATCTATTTTACTTGAAGGATTAGTAGAAAGATGTGGATCTAAAGAATCAACCTCCAAGGCTTCATCATCAGCCCAAGAAAAACTTTTAGAACTACTCACTTCATTTGAAGATCTAAAGGAGAGCAAGGACTTACTATGTTGACGAGATTGAAATCCAATCGGCTGAGGAGTTGCCTGCGACTTTGGATCCACAAGAAACCTATCAGATTTGAGTATCTCCTCCATAGATTTTTTCAACCTTTCACCTCGAGGACCCGTCGATCCCATGATTCCTGAGTCAAGATCTTCATCTTCTTGAGTAGATTTTGAACCTGATTGAATCTCTGAAGATTGCAAGCAAGAATTTGATGCTCGTAATCCAATGCTGAAGATCCTATTACCGCTACTTTTCTTCTTTCTTGCCATCAAGAACTAGGCGGGGGTGTATGTTAGCAAGAAAAAATTCGTCTGCTAATTAGATTCTTTTGAATAAGATAAACAGTAAAATATTATTTTTGTGTTCAAATTTCATGAGGGTCGAAAATACTGAATGATTTCTTGTCTCTAATGTGTTATTTAAGAGGTTTCCAAAACAAAAACAAACCTAGAAGATTTCAAATATGAAAACCATTTCTCCCAACATTTACATCCATTATAGAAACAAGAGAGTACAATCTACAAAGAAAGATGTTTCAATCTCTTATTAGCAATATGATCAATTCTCAAAATCCAGAAACAAAATAGGTTTCCATCTTGATCAAATCTCAATATATACAAAATGAAGCACTCTCATACAAAGTACAGTGGATATTATCATGCAAGAAATCCAAGCCTCTCCCCATTTTTCTTCGCCAGTCGAATCAAACCTTGTCGAACTTTACTATCAGCTCCTATAGATTTGCAGAACTCCGTAATCACCTGTAACAAAACTCCAAATTTATGGTATAGAATTTATTTTCAGAAAATAAGGATCTTAGCCTACGTGTCCTAATGAAGGATCAAAAAGTACAATGGTACATAAGTATACTATATATATTGTGAATTTGATATAGTATTAAGATTTGATAAAATGCGTCCATTCAAAATAAACACCCATCAATATCATTTTCTCATTAGAAATAATATAAGGGAAAACATCACAATAATTAGACCACCAAAACATTTTCAAATAACCCCCAATGAAAATAGATTCAGAAAGATACAAAACTTTCGGAGTTAGGTAAGATTTCCAAGCTTTTGCAAGTTATCGCAAAATGGACCAATCTTGGAGAGTTTTACAAAATTTATCCGAAAAAAAATTAATTAAGAACAAATACCTACGTACAGTGGCAGAGTTAGGATCCATAGGCTAGTAGGGACAATGATTATAAATAAATAAAATAAAAATCAACTAAAATAAATTAATTAATACATTACGATGTCAAAATAAATGATATTTTATAATTGTTCTTGACGAGTTTTCATATTTTTGAATCTTTGTACAATCAATTCATTTCAACCATCTTAAGTATCTTTCTTGTTATAAGTAATAAAACTATCATTCAAACCAATCATTTCTCGTTCAATTGCAGACTCAATCTTTTATAATTTTTATAGTTAAAACATTTCTTTTTTTCTTTTTCAATTTTTCTCTTGAAACCAACAACGACTCATAATGACAGCAAAGTGAGAGAAGTTTGATTAAAGATAATTAATTAGGATGAGAATTAGATTTAATTAATTAGTATTTGAGTTTAACTAAATCAAAGTCTAATGCAATTAATGAAAAGGATCAATTATATTTATCAAAATGAGCTTCTATTTAAAATGCATGTCATAATAATAAGAAATATAATTTATTTATACCTTCATGTGGGCTACAATTAATGAAGTTAAATTGTAAGCCAACTATAATGGTCATGTGTCTAAAACATGAGGCGGGGTCAAATATTAAGCTTGATTGGTCTAAATAAAAAAAGAGATTAATGAGTATCCTTGTCATAGGAGTAGATTTCCCTATCTAATACATGCAAGAGTTAAATTGCAAAAAGATATATCATGTCAATAATAAACGAGTAAGGCACGAACAATAGCATGGAATATGAAAGGATTTTGCTAGGCCTGTCCATCCGGGCCGGGCCAGGCAAAACCGGAGCTCGGACCCGGACCCGGGCCCGGGCCCAACTGGGCCGGCCCAGATTTTTTTCAATTTTTTCTTTTTTTTTTTTTTTTTGATAAAAAATGCTAAAAATTAGTTTAAATTTATTATATTTTATATAATTATGTTTTAGTATATACTTACAAATTATTATGTAATTATATATTATATATACATATATTATATATACATATATTATATGTAAATATATTGTATATATTTATAAGTTATAACTTGAGAGAGAAAATCGCATAAGTAGCCATTGCCCGTTGGGCCAATGGGGAAGAAGTAGCCGTTGTAATATACTATACTTATATATACTTATATACTAAGAGAGAAAGTATACACACACAGACACACACACACACACATATTATA